GCAGCGCGTGCAGACCCCGGAGAGTTCAAGACCTTTCCTGGTCGGGGGCGGGTTTCTGCTGCGGGAGGGGAGCGAGCGCAACCGGAGGACTGAGAGGAGCGCTTCGGTCTCTGCAGCCCCGGGCGGGGACGGGGGTGGAATGGGAGATGTTTGCGTTCCACCCATCCCGTTGCCTTTGGATTAATTACCCTCTGGGTGGAGCGGCTGGAAAATCTCACTGCCCCCGTTCCTTTCCTCTTCCTGCTCCCCACAGGAGAATCATCTTTTTGAGTCAGAGTTGGTACCAAACAAGTTGACCTTTCAACACCCTGCTTGAGGTCCCAACGCTTCAAGAAGCTTTGGAGGACAGGACGGGGAGAAAGGCCTTCCCATGGGACCGACGTCATCTCCCCAAGCACTCATGTGTAGCCAAAGGAAGGGTGCAGCCTAGCCTCTAACCGACCTCAGTCAACCCGTGTTGTGCGATTTCCTTTCCCAGGGTTGTCTCCCCTTCCCCATCCTTGAAAGCACTGTCGGAAGATGGAAGGCAAGAAAGACTGAGTGAAAGCTGTCTGGAGGGTTCTAGAATAGTGGGGAGCTGTGTCCTGACCCTCTGCTCCACTCCACGTGATGGCTCTCTGGGCAGGGCTACAGCTGAAGACAGATTTGAAAAACATGCTTATTAAGCACCTACCATGTGGCCAGGAAGGACTGTGGGACATTAGAGAGACAAGACACAAGATCCATTCCCTCGAGGGCACAAACCAGCCCTGGAGAGGAGCCTACAACAAAATAACGAGATTGTTGGTAAAGGAGAGTATGAAACCCAGCCAGGTCCTTGTTGGTGCCAAAGAGGACCCGGAAGCAGAGTGTCATGGTGCCCGGCCTTTAGGAAGGTTGGTCAACCAGCATTCTGCAGTCTCTGGGGGACTCTGAAGGCAAGCAGGACATGCTTAGCTGTGGGACAGCCCTGCCTCGCATAGTGGGTGACAGGAAGTGTTTGGCAGTGGCATCACCTGCTCCTCAGAGGGCTTATGAAATGTTTGTAAATTCTCAGGTGAACAGAACAGCTTAGTGGGTGGCAAAATCCAGACTTACCCAAATAAAAGATCTTCTTACTTGCTTTATCTCTATATATAAAATGTTAAAAGACTGACCGTCTAACCGGCCAGTGGGTATGACACGCACTGTCCACCAGGGGCAGACACTCAACGCGGGAGCTGCCGGGCTGTGGTGACATGGCAACAGTTCTCGGGTAATACACCCCAGAACCAGAGAGGAGGGAGCCCATTTCCTCACGGGGCCACACGATTCCACCAGGCTGTGGGACTCCACCTGCTGAAGGGACTCCACTCACTCCACAGATGCCCTTTGAGCCATGGTGCCACCCCAGGTGCAGCCGGCCAGGGAGGGACAGCGGGAGGTTGGCTCCAGGGAGTGTTTGGCCCAGGCTCACCCTATCGGCTACTTTCTAGTTAATTTCCTTTCAATGTGCACGAATCAGTGCAAAGGGTCACTAGTCTTCAAATAAAGGATTTAATTTGCTGCATATGTCCTATATCAGCCCAGAGCAATAAAAGCTCACTGAAATTCCCCTCCTATCTATCCCATTCATTCCTTTAGTCAACAAATATTTATTGAGTGAACACCATGTACTAGCCACATTGTAATTTTTAGAGTCAAGTTGATGATAGGGTGTAGTTACTGATCTAGAAATATTTTGGCGCCTGGCTAGTGGCCTCTCTGCAACTCAGAGCCTTCATCCAAGCCCACTTTATTCTGTGAGCTTCCCAGGAGGCGTCTGGAGCATTCGCTGCTGTAGCCCCGCCATTGGGCCCAGTACATGAGATCCTAGTTTTGAACACAGTTTATTGAGTGCATTAACATGATGAGGAACATTCTGAGCAGATATCTAAGTGGCCTAAATGATGAAACTAGAGAAGTGATTGCTGTCAGGGGCCTGGAGGAGGGAGGAGAAAGCAATCTCGGGACTGGGAGAGTAGAGAATATTAATACTCTAGGCCAGTGGTCGGCAAACTGCGGCTCGCGAGCCACATGTGGCTCTTTGGTCCCTTGAGTGTGGCTCTTCCACAAAATACCGACTTCTGCGCACGGGCCACGAAGTTTCAATCGCACTGTATGTGCGTGCTCGCACTTGGTATTTTGTGGAAGAGCCACACTCAAGGGGCTTAAGAACCGCATGTGGCTCGCGAGTCGCAGTTTGACAACCACGGCTCTAGGCTGATTTTAGTGGTAGATGTTTTAAGGAAGTTGTTGGGTTTGTGTGCTTTCTTTTTAATTGAAAATATATATATATGGAGCCTCTATTATGATTTAAAAAGTGGGGAATAAAACAGCTGTATTGTAGCGGAGTTCACAGTCTGGTTGACAAGACAAAGTGAACAGGCTCTTTCAATACAGTGTGATACCGGGAAGTACAGTGTGCTGTAAACCACGCAAAGGGATTACTTAATCTAGTTTGGGAGTGCAGGTCCTTTGAATTCTGCCTCCATTATGTCTCTGGGGATCCAGCACTGTCTAGACAGGCATTCTGATAAAGCATTTAGAGAGAACGCAGAGGATTCTGCTCCTACAGTCAAAGAACACTAGGCCAACCATTTTCAAACCCAGGGCACAACTTCAGGGCCTGAGTGGTGCTGTTTCTCCTTTGCATAATCTAAGGCCGTTGGGACATTCTGATACTTCTAAGGCAAAGGAGACTTATTTCCAGGAGCTGATACAGCTGAAGAAGTAGGCTTTTCACTAAATGAACAGATATTTGAGTGCCT